CTCTCTCTCTCTCTCTCTCCTCCCCCGCCCCCTCCCTCCCTCCCTTCCTCAGTAACATCCCATTCTTGCTTAATGGGTGATGAGCCTCTTTTACTTCTTTGAGGAGGATATTTATAGTTGAAAGGGCTTTCTCCTCAGTGTGCAGCCTCTGTCCTTTACCCTCCTTTTGTTCTGGGTTAATAATACATTTCTAGTCATCTTGGTAAGGGGCAGTTGTCTAGAGGGAGGGGAGGGAGCATGAGGATTAGTTGCTGCTGCTTTTTCATTTTATAAAGTCAGATGAGTTATAATTTTTTTTCTGGTGGTACTGGAGTTTGAACTCAGGGCTTCGTGCTTGCTAGGCAGGTGTTCTACCACTTGAACCACATGCCCAGCCCTTTTTGCTTTAGTTATTTTTCGGATAGGATTTTGCATTCATTTGTCCAAGGCTAGGATTAGACTGGGACCTCCTTATCTACCACCTCCTGCCTAAGGGGATGACAGGCATGTGCCACTATGCCTACCTTGTTTTGTTGAGATGGAGTCTTGTCAACTTTTTACTCAGACTGGCCTCAAACTGAAGTCCAGTCTTCTTGCTTCCTAAATAGTTGGAATTACAGGAGTGATCCACCACACCCAGCTAAATTACAATTTACATAGAATAAAATCCATCCATGGGTTGGTCTGCTTCTGGATCCTTTAATTTTGTTTGATTCATGCCTGTGTCAATCCCTTACTAATACAATACTCTTGATAGCTGTGAATCTTGGAATGTAGATTTCTAAGACCGCATTTTTCTTTTTCTAAATTGTTTTGACTGTTCCAATTCCTTTTCTTTCCAATTGAATGTGAGAATCAGCTTGTTGATATCTAAAAAATTTGTACTGGGATTTTGGTTGGTTACATTGAATAAGTAGATTTGACACTCAATGATTATTCAGTCTTCCTGTCCAAAAACATTGTTATGGTTATATCTTAAATGTTCTTCAAAGACTCATGGGTTGAAGGCTAATGGCACTACCTGGAGGTAGTAGGAACTTTTAGGGGGTGTGGACTTATTGAAGGAAGTCGATCCTTGGGGTTACAGGTGTGTCCTTGAAGGGGACAGTAGAACACTGTCCCCTCCCCTCTCTCTGTTTACTTCCTGTCCACCTTTAGGGGAGCGCCTTTCCTTTACCATACACTTCCACTGTGACGTACTGCCTCTTCACAGGCCCAAAGCAACTGGCCAAGCAACCACAAAATTTGATCTAAAAATGAACCTTTCCACATAAGTTGAGTTTCACAGGTATTTTGTCCAAGCAATAGAAAACTGACTAACATAAAATGGTTTGTATTTTTTTTTGAGTTTCAATTTTTCATTAGTAGTATGTGGATAGTATTTATCTTTGTTTATTGACCTTGTATTCTGCAATCTTGCAAAACTCAATTAGTTCTAGTGGCTTTTTGTAGATTCCTTGAGATTTTCTGTATAGATAGTCATATCATCTGCAAATAGAAAGTCTCATCTTTTAAACCTATAAGTCTTTTCAAATGTCTTTCTCTTGTCTTACTGCATAGTCTAGCATCTCTAGTGTGATTTTGACAAGGGGTGGTAAAGACGGGCATCCTTGCACATAGGGAATACCTTAGGTGTGATGGTAGAGCTGGTTCAGGATGTTCCTTCTGTTCTCCATTTGCTGATAGCTTTTAGTATGAATAGGTCTCACATTTTTCCAGGGCATTTTCTGCATCTACTGAAAAGATCAATTTTTCTAGTTTTCTAAAGATGAAAACAGAGATCTTTGTCCTTTTTAAATATAATGCTAAAAATTCCCCTCATAAACACTAACTTAACTGCATCCACAAATTTTTATAGTGCTGTGCTTTCGATTTCATTTCATTCACATCCTAGTTTCCTTTAGGACTCACATTTTGATCCTATGTATTTAGATGTATACTATTGGATTTTTAAATATTTGGAGATTTTAAAGATGCTCTCTGTTATCAGTAATACATTTTTCTAACATATAATTCAATCCTTGTGATCACAGACCATACTTTGAATTCTCTTACTTTTTTGTGTGGGGCATTGAGGTTTGAACTCAGGGCTTCACACTTGCAAAGCAAGCTCTCTATGCTTGGGCCACAGCTCTAGTCCATTTTGCTGTGGTTATTTTAGAGATGGAGTTCTCTCAAACTGTTTGCCCAGGCTGGCCTCAAACCACACTCCTCCTGATCTCAGCCTCCCAAGTAGCTAGAATTATAGGTAGGAGCCATCAGTACCTGGTTTTCTTAAATTTTTTGAGATTGGTTTTATGGTCCTGAATTGGGTCTATCTTGATAAAAGATCCTGTGGGCTCTGGGGAAGAATCTCTTATGCTGATGTTGGGTAGGATGTCTGTGAATGCCAGGGCAGGTCGTGTGTTAGTATTGTTCAGGTGTCCTATCTCCTTACTAATTTTCTTTCATCCATTTTTGAAATCAATAGTAGAAATAAGAAATGTTAGACTTTACAGTTCTCATTGTGAAAGTTCATTTCCCCTTGTTCTGTCTTATATTACCTTTGTCTCTTAAGCTGTATTGCTACATATACACATAATTAAGATTGTTAAGCTGGAGGTGTGGCTCAAGTGGTATAGTGCCTAGCAAGCCTAAGGCTCTGAGTTCAAACCCCAGTTCCTCAAAAGACTGAAATCTTTTGACATAGAGTTCTTTATAACTTTTCAATATCCCTCTTTATCCCTCATAATACTTCTTGTTCTGAAATCTGCTTTGATAATAATATAGGCACTGCATCTTTCTTTTAATTAGTGTTCACATAGCATATTTTTTGGATATTTTTACTTTTAACCTATGTATTTACATTTATCTTGCGTTTTTTATAGAAAGCATATAATTGAACCTTGCTTTCATATGCATCCTCTGACTCTTAATTGTGTTTGTACTGTTTTCATTTAATGTAGCTGTCAAGATATATAAAGGAATATAGAATATTTCTTTTTTCCTCTTTTTTGTCTGCTATTAGATTGTTTTACTATTCTATTTTATCTGTACTGTTGGCTTATTACACTTAAGAAAACACTTTCAGCATTTTTCCTTAAGATGTGAACTGCCATCTTCAGTCAGAGTACATCTTGAAATAACAGGACTATGCTTCAGGCATAGAGTAAGTTCACATCACAGTATTTTTCCTTGTAATTGTTTCCTTGTAATTTTTATTAACTATTAGGCATTGTATGTAGGACAGGAGAGCAGGGCTCAGGTAACTCTGTTGGGTCACATAGTAAACATTTTGAACTTTGAGGGCCCCATGTGGTCACTGATACATATTATTTTTGTTTTCTTTTAAAAAATAACCCTTTAAAAGTTTGAAACCATTTTTAGCCTACAGTTTGTACAGAAACAGGCCACGGGCTATACTTGGCCTCCAGGCCACCATGTGCCACCTCCAGAGAAGAATAAAGTAGGTGAGTGGTGCTTACACCTGGAAATGGCCACACCTCTGTTCTGCTAGGCTGCGGAGTGAAAGGTGGAGCTGGCTTTGAGTTTGATTGTTGCCATACTTACCTTCCATCCACTGGCTAGACTTAAATTCCTCTAGCTTTTCCTTGAGTTCAGTGGGAGTACTGAGTTGCCTGTGTCTCCACCCTTGGCCCTCCCCTGCCTCAGAGGGGTCTCTTTGTATCCTTTGCTCCTCTCCCAGGTATCTTCATCAGGAGTTTGCTGGACTGCTTAGGGAGTTCTCCATTATTTCAGCCTGTTCCTGTCCAGCTCTGTCTGGGCCTGGGGGCCTTCCCGATGATGTCGGCCTCTTTTGTGGCAGCCACACTGCCCTTTACCTTGGCAGGTCTTGTCCTAGAGAATGCCTCCTTTCCCTCCCGAATATAGGAGGGCTCTATTAGTCTGGGCTCATGATGGTTCCTTGCCTCTCTTCCAATGAGGAACAGGTTTTCCTTCATCTTTCCCCAGCCGCAGTCTTCCTTCTTGTTCTGTAGGGAGAAGCCTCTGGTCTGGATGTGGTGTGCTGGCAGCCCCTATCTTGTGAGGGATTGTTTAGTTCACTGACTTCTTGAAAATAGTGCTAAGAAAGAGGAACTGGTTCTGAGCCTGACTCCAGCCTGGTACTCAGGCCAGAAGGGTGTTAATGGCATGTTAAAAGCTAGCAACTGAGAGAAATGGTAAGGAGAATTGGTTCCATCCTGGTTAAGGATTATGGCCACCAGGCTGTATAATTCCTGGGGGCATTCATGTGGAAAATAATGGGACTACCATATGAATATCACAGCTTGTGACATTGTGTAACAGTGTGTGACATTTTGTGACATGGTATGACAATGGCTCTGAATATTCAGAAGCTATCTCTGTGTGTTGTTTCTGAAGAATTTTCCCTTTTTTGAGTGGAAGTGAAGTAATACTTCTTGAAATAACTGTTTAAGTGGGCAGAATTATAGCCCCCCCCAAAAAAACCCCATGAAAAGCCCTATCAGCTTTGTGTCACTGTGACAAAATACTGGAGATGATCAACTTAAAAGGAGGAAAGGTTTATTTTGGTTCACAGTTTCAGTCTGTGATTGGTTGTGGCCTGTAGCACAGTACCTTATGACAGGAACACATGGCACAAGAGATCTGTTCACCTCATGGTATCTGGGAAGCACAGAGTGAGACCAGAAGGGTCAGGGTTCCAATGATTTAACTTCCTCCTGCTAGGCTAGGCCCACCATCTTCTGAGAGCACCATAGGACGGCGATCCACACATGAGCCCTTGAGGTACACTTCCAGGCCCCCTGTAGCAGCTCTCATTCTTCCAGCTCGTATTTGAAAATTATCTGATTGTAGTATTTGAAGGTGGATAGTTACTAAATAGATAATGATGAAGTTTTGTCACGTTGCTTTTATGAGCTAAGCTTTCACATCAAGAAGTGACTTTCTGGACTAGCTGAAGTTTTCTCAACTGTCAAGCCTCTGTAATTCAGAAAGAACCTTCAAGGGGTCGATTTGTGAAGCTTTTATTCTAACCAGAAGCATTACATCTTTCCCAGATCCAGACGCAGAGGTGTGTCTCCATGTTCTGCGGCTCATCCAGTCTGTGGTTCTGGAACCAGAAGTCTTTTCCAAGTCAGCCTCTGAGTTCTGGAGCTCCCTGCCCCTGCAGCGCATCCTGGCCATGTCAAAGAGCCGCAATCCCCATCTGCAGGCCGCTGCTCAGGAGCTTCTTGAAGACCTTCATGCCCTGGAGCGCAGCGTGTAGGTGCGCTTGGCCACCAAGGGGTTTGGCGAAATGCCAGTGTCCCATCCCCTCCCCAGGTCCCTTACTTTGTATTCAAAACCATCACTGTATGCCATGTGTTTGAAGTGGCACACTGTGATTGACTAGAGATGGACATGAGTGGATATGTATACCACAGCACTCCCTCCCAGAAATGACGCACCTGTAGGTGGGTGGTTAATCTTCCCAGAGGTGGAGCCAACAAAGACTCCATCCTCCAGAAAGGCCCACATTTGAGCTACCTGGAAGAGGGCTTTCTTCGAGTAGCTCCATGCTGCCCCGTGGATTGCCTGTGCCTGTAGCGTCACTGTAAAGGTGGGGGTTAGATCACCTTCCACCTCATGGTCAGCATTTCTTTAAAAAAATCCATCTCATTCTCTCTCTAGTAATTATAATTCGTGCCCCCAGTATGCAGGTTTGCCTTTGTAACCTTTTGGAGAACCTGCTCTTTCAGACGACATTGGACATTTCAGATGTAGATTTTTGTGTCTCTTATTTTTGAATAAAGTCAGAAGAGTCAAGATGTAAACTTGATGTTAAGAAGTCGGTCTCCTTTGTATACAGCAGTACATGCACTTGGCTGGCAAAACAAGCTCTCCTTACATTGTCTGGCCGTTTGGTTGCAAATTTTTCTGATAGCAAATTTAGGGAAATGGCATCATAGATTAGGGCACATGTGGTGGGTTGAGATTCCTTAAGTGGTAGTTCCATCCCTCTTTTGGTGTGTGTGTGTACACAGGGCTCTACTGTGTATATGTGCCTTGTCTGTGTAGTCATCACGTACTTGGTTCTTATGTTCTAGGCCACTGGCAGACACCATGAAGTGAGAGAGTTGCCCTCAGTCGTATCAGGGAATGCACTCCATCCTTTCTCTGGGATGCTTCTGTAACTGGGCTGAGTGGTCTAAGAAGACACTAGTCCAGAAGACTCCGAGTTCTTGTGTCACTTGAACAGAGAACTGGACAGAGACACAAATTGCAAAACAGTAGCAAAACTTATTGAAAGAAAAGGAAAGAGAAAGAAGAAGCACTGCAAGAGAAAAAGTGGCGGGCTCTGCCAGGTGGCACAGGAGGCTTGATTTCTTTGTTTTAATTCCACTTTATAAGTTGTAAGGCAGGAAAAATCTGGGCAGTCCTTAGAAAGGGAGGAGGGGAGGGTGGCTGGCAGGTTTACTTAACATAGCCTTGTCACATAACAAGTGGTATTCTATGCATGTGTTTATGCCAATTTTTGGCCTTTAATTGTGTATATGAGATGTGACCAATATTCATGAGGTCCTAAGTAAGAGGACTTGATCTGGGAGGTCAAATTGGGGACAGGCTTTTTTTTTTTTTTTTTTTTTTTTTTCCAACCAAGAGAGGCAGACCCAAAGGTGCCTCTTGTGGGTGCTGTCTGGCAAAGATAATTGATGACCACCAGGGTATTTACAACTCAGAGGGGATTTATTGCTCTAGAGATGGCTCAAAGGTCTGGATGTCTAGAGTCTGTGCTGGGGAATGCCTGTTTGTTTAAGAGAAAGGAGGGGGTTTCCTATGGTGGTTTATTTTCCCTTTGCTAGCCTGCCTCATTTCCTTAAGTGTGTTGCTTCAGGGTATTGGGCTTTGGACATCCTGTAAGAGAGAAAACAAATCCAGGTGTCCCTTTGCAGCGGCAGTCTGAATACATAGATAAGCTGTTTCTGCTGTGTGTGTGGCATTGTAGAGTAACTTCTGTTTTTTTCTAAGTAGATTTTTAGAAGGAATGTATAGTTATGGCTGAGGCTGAGTCCAGAATACAGCGGAAGGCACAGTTGCTCGAATTTCATAAGCCAGCATATTGTGGTTCCTTAGCTCACCAGAGCCAGAGCAATGTTGTAAAAGGCAGTTTGAGATCTTGGAGGCAGATGCTGGTCCATCTGTGCTGTGTGATTCTGTAGGCTCGATTAGTGGAGGAAAAAATTGAAGAAACTATGTGGTACCTCTTCTTTTTGGTTGCTGCCTATTTAATAAGGTAATAGGGGTAAACCAGCATGATTAGTTTGTGCTACTTTTAGAACTGCAGGGAATTTCCTGCCAAAAATGGAGCTAGTGCTGTGTAGGGAGGAGGAAATGTCCAGCCCTGTGAGTAGCTTGTTAGTAGATGGACATGAGTGAGAAAGACTGTCCTTTCCTTCCGATGCGAGGCCCTAGGTAACAAGAGTTTCTGGGTGGAGTCTCCAGGACTACATGAGTGAGTGCTGCAGGGCAGGGGCAGGGGCTGGAGGCCAGTGTCAAGCAGCAGTCTGCATCCAGTGTCCCTGCTCTTCACTGCAAGGACAACAGGACAACATGGCTGCCTTAATTTTTCTGCATCTGGCAACCTAAAGAAACCCATTCAGCTAAAGGAAAAGTGTACATAAAAGCATGTGTCTTGCAGTGTGTGCACGCTTGTGAATCTAAAAATCAGAGGCAAAGCAGTAAAGTACTTCATACATATATTTTTAATTTGACTTTTAAAGAATTCCTCTTGTATTTATTCAGTTAAGAAATTCTTTTGCTTCTTGGCACCAGTAGCTTGCATGTGAAGGTGTGAAACCTGGCAGGCCAACAGCTAGACTGCACCCATACCTCCTCCACTCCCTTTTCCCTGTTGGGTCCCCACAAGCCTTTGGCTCTAGTTGTTTGCTAAGCCATCTAACCTGATTTCTGTCAAGTCTGAAAGCCGAGATCCTTGGTACAAAACCACGCAGAGTCTCTGGCTAACTTTGGGACCCTGTTTCATGGCACAACCTGAGATGAGCCTACTGTTGAAGAGTTTTTCATTTATTCCAGAGGATTTCTAAGTTACTTAAAGTAAGTACCAAGCATAGGTCACAAGTCTGCAGCCTAAAGAAAACCATACCAAGGCTGAAAGTCAGAGCACAGCCAAGGAGGGATTGTAAGAAAGGTTATAAATGCAAATTGTTCACAGTGGCTCGTGCCTATAATCCTAGCTCCTTGGGAGATAGAGATCAAGAGGACCGTGGTTCAAGGCCAATCCAGGCAAAAATTTAGCAAGACTACATCTCACTCATGGGTGTAATGGTGCATGTCTGTAATCCTAGCTACTGGGAGGCATGGGTAGGAACATTGAGATCCTAGGCTGGCCCTGGGCATAAACATGAGATCCTGTCCAAAAAATAAACCAAAAGGGGATGGGGGTGTGGATCAAGAAGTAGAGTGCCCGCCTACCAAGCACAAGGCCCTGAGTTCAAGCTTAAGTCTCACTAAAAAAGAAAGGTTATAAATATGCCCACTCTACCAGTTCTTCAGGGCCTGCCATTATATATTGTCATAGCATTAATGTGAGTGGAGAAGGTTGAGGAATCCTGCTGCAGACTTACTGATTTTCTGAGAAGTTCTAAAGTTGACATTTATTTATGGGAGGAAAACTAGTCTCAGGCCTTCCGACCAGTGGAGGACCCCAGGTATAGACCCTAATGGAGTGTAGGACGTGCTATAGGATGCAGGATGCTATAGGGCAGTGTGTAGGCTCAGAGGTAGTGAGAACTCACTGAGAGGTCCTAACTGCAAGGGATCTGTAGAGTAGGAAGATTACAGACCAGGCTGGTCCTGGGAAAAAATACAAGATGCTATCTGAAAAATAAAGCAGAAAAGGGCTGGGGGCCTGCCTAGCAAGGGCGAGGCTCCCCCGCTCCCCAGCATTGCTGAGACAGAGAGAGAGAGAGAAAGAACATTGCTTTCATGAATAGTCTATATTATAAGGATTTTAAAGTAGTCCCAGAGGAACTCCTTAGCTTCTTTTCCTTCATAGAGGTATGTTTTAATGTTCCTAGAACATCCTTAGCACAGTTGTAGTTTTTAATCAAAGGCATATTTCAGCTCTGGTTTTATGCAGAGTATTCCCATGAAGTCCGAGGAGCACTCCAGGCAGAAGGAAGAGGTTTGAAGGCTACAGCACTGTCCGCAGGCAACAGGGAGGGAGCTCAAGTTTGGCTGTGAAGCCTTCCTGATGCATCTTGTGTGATGGCAGGTTGTTGGAGATTGGGGACAGGAACATCCTTGGGTTTACAAGTGAAAATGTAAAAATGTACATTCTGTTCTTAAGATCATTCATTGGGCACTGTCTCTAGCCATGCTGTTCTCCCCAGCATCCCCTCTTAAGACAGACAAAATGAGTTGGTCTTCAAACACACCTCCCCAGGGTAAAGCTTCCCTTCTCTCTCATGAACTCAAGCCAAATCCAGGTTGGAGGCCTAGGATGTGAGTTCCCAGTGCTCAGTTGCTGTATGCATGTGTGTGCTGTGTGCCATAGGCCAACATTGGTGAGGGGTCCCTGCCAGTGTGGCCCTGAAAGAGAGTGCCTCGTCAGGGCTGCCCTCTCAGTTGCTCAATACCAGCTGCCATCTCTCCCACTTAAGCCTCATCTGCTGACATGCCTCAAGCTGACATGCATGATTTTCTGCGAGTTTGTGGGATTCAGTATTGCTTACTCTCCAGTAGGCAGCCCTTTGTCCTGTACTTGGGAACCACATTTGTTGGACTTGCATGGCACAGTGTGGTGCCAGACACATCACAAGGCATTTTTAGCATGGCAAGCATTCACTAGTGTCACTGTTTGTGTGAGATGTCATTGGCAGCCCAGGAGTGGACACAGTGCCAGTTTCCCTGTGCTTGAACTGCAGCTCACTTACCACTCATGCCACTCTCTGAGGGCTGAATCACCAGCCACACTCTGCAGGTGGGGACACTGGAGCCCCAGTGACAGGGCTTTGATTTGCAGCTGCAGCTCTCTGTGGTGACTTATACTCACAACTGGTGTCACTTGGCCCTTTCTGAGCCTATGTCCCTGTGTAAGTTTCCGGCTTCTAAACTACTGTCTGTCCTGCCCCTGGGTGTCTGTGGTTCTGCTAGTAAACAGTGTAGACCTCTGGCAGAGGGTCATTGGCTCTGTTGCCAGCAGCAGTCCATCAGGGCAAGTGGGGAAGGAAGTGGGGGACAGATGGTGAGCCCCATAAGCACTAGTTCCTTCTGCTTCCCACCTAGGCTGGCATTCAGACAGCATGTGTTGCTCTGTGACAGGCTTTCATGTCTGCTTGATCACATGATAACATTTGAAAAGGATGGGGAAGGTGGTGGATTGATCATTAATATTGAGACTAAGTTTGAAAAGGATCTGTTCAATATCTGCAGGCCAGCTTATAAAATTAACATTTACTCCTGCTTAGTAAATGTTAATTTACTAAGTAAATTAGTACATTTGTTCACCGATTGCTACACCATCTCACCTTTGCCTAGAATAATTGAGTAAGGCTCAATGTCACTGTTTCTTTGAGATTCCATATTGCTGAGACAGACCAGACCAGGATCAGGACAGATTCTCCTCCCTGCCCTAGGCGAGATAGGCAGCAGCAGGTTCTGCCAGACCTGGCAATGGCAGGCTCATTCCCTGCAGAGTTCTCCTCTAATAGAGTAGGCAGGCCCAGGGGCTTGAGGAATGAGGGAGGAGTAGCCCTATAATGGCTGTGTTTCTACTTTTTCTTTTCTTTTATATA